TTTTATCTGAAACTCACGATTTAGCTAGGTTGCCTGGCCCCAAAGCCCCAGACACCCTCCTGTCTCTCCCTCTCCAGTGCTGGGATTACAAGACCATGCCACCATAGCCTTTGTTTTTTTCAACATAGGTCCTAGGGTTCGAACTCTGGTCCTCGTGCCAAGTGCTTTACCGACTGAGCATCTCCCCAGCCCTCCTGGCTTATTTTCTCGTTGTTTCTTAGCTCTTAGCATACTTCCCCTCTCTCTTATTTTAGAAAGTATACAGTTTGTGCTCTGTTAGTGGTGACTCTAACAATTAAGACATGCATTCTTAACTTACCAAACTCTAAACATAATAAAAGCCTTTATTTTCCTTTGGATAACAACGCAGTTTTCTGAGCTGTTTCCTACTCTGCTCAAGTGCCTCCAACTCATGCGATCACTTATCTGGTGTTTAACTAACATCACCGATGTTTTCAGTGGCAGAAGCAATTTAAATATTCTACCCTGTTGCTATTGGAAATCTTAGAATTGTCTTTGCATTTACCTAGCTCTGGACCGAGGATCTGTCTTATTTTGTACCCCTGGCACTGAAGAAAGTGTCTTTACTTTTGTCTTAAGGTGAGCGCTTGAGCAAACCAAGGCTCTGCCTATGCTAAGCCTTCTGTGTTGACAGAGTGCTCTTTGCTACCCATGTCTATGGGTTACTGAGTTTAATCATATAAAAATGAAGCAGTATTTATAGAGGAACTCAGAGAATCTGCAAGATTCAGCCCTTCATATAGTCAACAGCATGGTTCTGTGTCTTATCTCCCAGTGCTGAGGTGTGAAGTATCCTCACATATTTGGAATAAAGAGGTTCCAGTGCCATCTCTCATGGGTGGGGTCATGAGGCAGCTTTGATTTCCCATCTGCCTGGACATCTCACATTTGCTCCTCTAGAAGTCCAATTCCTGTCTTGTAATTGGGCCACTAGGCCAAATTTAGAAGTGGATTTAGTGAAATTGAAAACATTTATTTATTTACTTACGTACTTTGTTGAGGTAGGGGTGCATGTGCCACAGCACCAGTGTGAAGGTCAGAGGCCTTTCACCATGTGGGTCCTGGGAATCAAACTCAGGTTGTCAGGCTTGGCACCATATGCTGTAACCAGCTGAACCATCTCACTAGCCCCAAGATTAGTGAAAGTTTAAGAAAATTTGCATTGAACACATTTCTGAAAACTGTGAGGACTGTAATAGATGTCCTGTTCCTTTTCCCATGGTTCCCACTGAACTTGAGAAATGCCTCTCTGTGGAAAAAGCTGGGAGTCGGGGTGTATATTATTTTCCTAGGGTTGCTGTAACAAATTTTTACAAGGTAGGTGGAACAGAAATTCTTTCTCTTACATATATGGAGCTAGATGTCTAAAATGAAGGTATTGTCTGGGTTTTGTATTCTGTGGTCTCCAGGGGAGAATCCTTATCAGCTCAAGATTAGGGCCTAACCTGATCTAGTTTGACCTCATCTTATTTTGTTATACCTGCAAAAAGCCTATCTCTAAATCCATATTTAAAGGTATCATGGGTTAGGACCTCAACAGATCCTTGGGGGGGAGGGGGACATAAACTTCAAAGTTGGAGCAGAAGATAGGATCAGAATACCTTTGAGAATAATATCATCTATTTAGTAAAAACATCACCACCAATCTGATGTTTGGGTACTTTTAATTCTTTCACATAACACTAAAAATAAACCAGTCCTCAAGCTGTCTGTCTACCCAGCTGTCTTGTAAACACTTGGTGACTATCATTTCAGATGGCTTCTGCCTTGACCATATGGGATTGAGATGCAGATACAGTACTGTGCAGTCAGTAGTTGTGCTTGGATCAGTGGCACTGGGGAGGAAGAGCCATTTGGTTGAACTCATCTTTTAGAAGTGTGCAGAGAAGGTTGGCTTGTGCTGGGGTGGCTGTACCCTCCATTATTCGGTCATCAGCTTGCTAATATGCATCTGTGGGTGCTAGCGACCCCCAACAAGTATCTTGAAAGCTTTTGGTCACTGGCAAGCAAACAGTGAGAGGGAAGGGAGAAAAATATGCATCTGTGAGGAATGTAAGGTAGACAAGCCTCTATGCTTTGTAATTGTACCAATGGAAAGTATATATATTGTTCAACACACAACCAATGAATTGACCCTGTCTTTGCGATTATGAATGAGAATGTCCTAAAAGCTAATAAAAGATAATGATCCTTAAAATTCCTTATTTCTTATGTTGTCATATATGGCGGTTAATCTTCATTATCAACTTAACTGGATTTAGAATCACCATGGAAACACATCTCTGGGTGTGTCTATGAGGATGTTTAACAGAGGAGTGAAGATGCACCCTGAATGTGGGTTGTACCATACTGTGGGCTGGAGCCCTGGGCTGACTAAAAAGGAGAAAGTGAACTGAGCCCCAACATTCATCTCTGTTTCCTGACCATGGAAGCAATGTGACCTTATGCTCCCGTATCCATGCTTTTCCCAACATGATGGACTGCATTCCCCTAAAACTGTGAGTCAAAAAAAACCTCTTCCTAAAGTTGCTTTTGCCAGGTATTTTGTCACAGCGACAATGAAAGTAACTAACACACCCTATGAACTTTTTCCTGTGTTTCATTTCAGGACTTGTTATATGCCTTTGGGCTGAACATACTCCTTTGACAATATTTATTCTACTCACTGAGTAAATTCAATTTGTCTAGGGGGCTTAACTCTGTATCTCTTATTCTTGGAGCAATATTTGTCTTATATAGGTATTTAATAATATTTGTAGGATGGATAAAAGAACTGCTGCTGGCTATATCTTTTATCTACCAGATATTTCTCAAAATATCTATTTTCTTTTAATTAGCCTAATCATGGAGTCCTGGCCCCAGGGGAATATGAATACCTTTCTTCTTAACGTCTAAATAGAAGATATAAAACCAAATCGGGGATGTAACCAAAATCTGTTCCTTGTTAGCTTTGCAACAGAAAGACCTGCCTATTATAATCGTGTCTTCCCCATCTGATAGGCGAGGGTACCACTTGGATTTGAGCATGAGATTTGAGAGCTCTGTGAAGCATCACTCTGTCTCCTACTCCCACCACTTTTACAACTGGGGAAACTGAAGCTCACAGGAAAAAGTTCTTGGTTCTGGCTAGTCAAACAACCATAAAGAGTCGAAATTAGAACCAGATTGAACTGGAAAGATGGCTTAGTAGTTAAGACAGCTTGTCATCTGGTAGAGGACCTATTCGGTACACAGCATCTGTGCCATGTGGTTCACATCCACTTGTAACTCCAGTTCTGGGGTGTCTGATGGCCTCTTCTGACTGCTGCAGGCAACTGCACTTATATGCACATACACCCACAAAGACATAAACATATAACATAATTTAAAAAAAATCTTGTTAAAACTTAAAAAAAAAATTAGTACCAGGGGCTGAAGAGATGATTCAGTAGTTAAGAGCACTGGCTGCTTTTTCAGAGAACCCAGGTTCAGTTCCCAGCATCCACATGGCCACTAACAACTGTCTGTAACTCCAGTTCCAGGGGATCTAATGTCCTCTTCTGACCTCTGCAGGCATTGCACAACACAGGTGTGCTTACATACATGTGGGTAATACACATAAAATAAAAATAATAAAACACTAAAAAAATAGAACCACCCTCTCCAGATCTTAGTGCGGTGCTCCCTCCTACCCTAGCCAGCTTCAAGCTCAAACTGCAAAATATCAGGAGGCCTGAGAGTAAGGGAGAAGTGACTCATGCTATATGCTGGAATGATCCAATTTAAAAAAGCTACCCAGGTTTGGTGGTGCACACCTTTGGTCCCAGCACTGGGGATGCAGAGGCAGGTGGATCTCTGTGAGTTCAAGGCCAGGTTTGTGGCTGCTGGGAGGGAGAAAGACAATGCCTTACAGGGATGGGATTCTTGGTGGGTCCAATGAATGGATTCATACTGAAGGACATTTGGGGACACAAATCAAACTCTTAAGACCATATTATTTATATATAATTATATATAATATACATATATTATTATATTAAATTGGGTGGGGGCAGTGGGAGACATGTGGAGAGTGGAGGGGATCTAAATACCATCAAACTATATTGTATGAATATTGCAAAAATTTGATAAAAATTGAAGAAAAAAAAAACCAAGATGGCGTTTTAAGATAGGCTGTTTGGGGGCTGGAGAAATAGCTCAAATGTACTTTCTGCAAGCCTGAGGACTTGAATTTGACCTGCATAAACCATATAAAAATGCCAGATATGGTAGAGAGCCCCTGTAATCTCAGATCTGGGGAGACAGAGACAGCCAGATGCCTGGGCATGTTGTCCAGCCAGTTTAACTTACTTAGTGAGCTCCAGGCCAGTGATAGACCCTGTCTCAAAAAGTGGATGGTGCCTGAGGCATAACACCAGAGGTTGACCTCTGGCCTCCAAATGCACATGCAAACAAACAAGCCCTCACATATACACACACATGCACACACACAGATATGTTAGTTTTGATATACCTTTAAAAATATTCATTTTAATGGCTATCTCAAAGGTTCATGACATAGACCACAGGTGGTGGCTGGCAGCTCTCAGCATGCAATCATGCAAAATTCTAAGTAATATCACCATCTCTGTGTGGTTCTCTAAGACTACCTGAGACCATTAGCAGTGTCTTTGCTATGTGTCTCTGGAATCTGATTCTGAGAAGTTTGTCTTGGTAAATAATGTCTCTGGTCACAACCAAAATAAATAGAGCAGTGACATTTTCCAGAAAGTAAGAGAATTGGCCATGTTGGAAATTGAGACGGGAAGTCTGAGTGGAGATATTCTTGGCTTCTGATTTCTGTTGGTATGGGCCCTTTTGCAAGGACATCCCCGCTCAGTCCTGACACTGTGACCAGTGGCATGCATTGGTAAAGATGCAGATGGGTGCCATCTGTAGAGGGAAAGAGGTACACAGCAGCAGAACACATTAGAACTGTACCCACCCATGCTGGAGTATCCTCACTGTGCTCTGGGATTATTCTCTTCCTTACTGATGGTTTCATCTTCATTTTGCATTGAGCTGGATGTGCTAATGTGGACAATGTCACTAAGGCCTCTGGTGACACTATCATAGGATGGTGGGAAAGATGTGGCAGATGCAGTTTCTGATTTGTCTGGGAGCCCACCATCATCATTTGCCATGAATGTAACAAAGCCTTCATTTGGGAGAGGCACAGCATCCTCCTCAGCCCTGGGCACACTCAGGGGGCTGGAGAGTGTCAAGGAGCGGTGCAGCACATAGCTCCGATAGGCCTTTTGAATGACAGTGGCTGAGATGTCTTCCTGCTTCCACCGGAGGGTGGTAGCTATTGGTTCATAGGATGCTTTTGAAAGATTAGTTGCCATAAACTTCTCTTCCATATTTGCTTTCAGAGAATCTAACTCCCCAGATTCTCCCAAGACATTCTTTGTGAAGGCAAAAAGGATGTCTAAGCAGTGGATCTTATCTCCAGGGACCAAGGGCAGGTCCATCTGAATCAATATATTCTGATTGGGTTTGGGAATTCTAAGAGGGCCAGAGAGAGTGTCTGCAAAGTCTGAGAGGGCAGAAAAGGTAATGAACTGGGTGGCCTCTGGGTCAAATTTCTCCCAGGTCTCATAGAACATGTCGAAGTCATCCTCGCTCAGAGGCTCAGTGCTTTCCTCTGTGGCAACGTTGAAATTCTCCAGAATCACTGCAATGTACATGTTGACCACAATGAGGAAGGAGATGATGATGTAGGTGGTGAAGAAGATGATGCCCACTGCTGGGTTTCCACAGTTCCCATGGGAGCCATTTTCGTTGGCATTGGTGGGGTCACAGTAGGGGGGTCCTGTGTTGAGGATGGGGCTGAGGAGACCATCCCAGCCAGCTGACGTGGTGATCTGGAAGAGGCACAGCATGCTGTTGCCAAAGGTCTTGAAGTTGAACATATCATCGATGCCAGCCTCATTCTTGACATTAGCAAAGCTGGACATTCCAAAGATTGAGTAGATAAACATGACGAGAAACAGCAGGAGCCCGATGTTGAAGAGGGCGGGCAGGGACATCATGAGGGCAAAGAGCAATGTGCGGATCCCCTTGGCCGCACGGATCAGCCTGAGGATGCGGCCGATTCGGGCCAGGCGGATGACTCGGAAGAGAGTCGGGGAGAAGTAACTTTCAAGTGATGTAAGAATTGCAGAAAACACCAGACCTTTGAAACAGGGAAGAAAATTATCCAATTAGTGTCTCCAACCATGAGCTCTGACCAAGTTGGTTATGATCACATTTTCTCATCTTTTCTTAGACTTCCATCTGGACATTCATTCAAGGACTCTGGCCTATGAGCCTGGCCTGGTGCAAGGTGCTGCTGAGTAACTACCTATTGCAGTAATCGTCCTCCCTCAGATTGGACTTGACCTCCCACCATGTTCTTATCTTTCCCTCTACCCAGAATATCTAATTAGTCAATCTCTAAGGTTAAAATCCTGTCTTCTTCAATGCACGATGTAAGCATGTGTGGAAATATCATAGTAAACCCCATTAATTCCTTCAATTAATGTGTGTTAATAATTATAATAAACAACCACCTATCTTCTGTAGCCAGGTTCAGCTGGAAGTGATTGTAGTCTAGTCCACATGCCCACAATGCTTTGCTTCTAATATGACACAGCCATGCCTGTTCCTCCAACCTGATCCTGTGCTCCAAGTAGATCAAGACCCCCTGTGATTCATCTCCCTATCTCCTGCTGGGAAGATTGACTCAGTTGTGGCACATGGTCCCTCACATAATTGTATGGATCCTGGCATTAATTATAAGGGGGGCATGGAGTTGGGCAACTTGCTGACAGCTAAAGAAGGAAAACTCTGACTGGCCAGCTGTCTCCATAATGCCTTTAATTTGTTTCTTTCAATTCCAGCTGTGGTTGAGCTCTATTCTATGCTCAAGCCGAGATGGGCTTGTTTAGGGTCAGTGACTGCCCCTCATCCTGTGAAAAAGTTCAGAAAGATGAAGAATGTATGTGCTCCCTATATGGTATCTAATATGAGATTGTAGGTCTATATTATAAAATCTCTGTGAAAACTCTCCCCTTAAGTCCAGCTGAGCTGGAATATTCTTCCCTATGTGAATCTATAATCTACTTCTGCCAGACAAATGGTACAAATCTTTTCCTGGATTCTATTTCAGGAGAGATGAGACTTTACACTTTTAATAATTTGGTACTCAATAAGTGTCTTTCTGGTGGGAAGGAAGAATGGGAGGAAAGTAGGGACAGCAGAAAGATGGACATAGAAGAGCCCACCTCTTCTGGTGGTTTTCCAGTTGCTTCTGTGAGGGATTCCTGCCCAGTGGATAGGGCTGCTGTGTAGGGACTAGTAACTGGTAGTTAAGTGTCCTCACCACAGGGCACATGGTATTTCTGTATTATTGATATGGAAAGTCAAACAAGAAAATCTCTAACAAAATCACAATGTCCTTGGGAATCTCTCACTTTAGAAGAGAAATTAAACAACCAACAAACCAAAACCAACTAGTTAGTCAACAACAAAAATACCCATTGTATTAGTGAAATAAACCTAAAAGGATAGATCTTCTTGTTTGATGTTGCTTGACTGAGGCTTTTGAGACAGTCTTACTCTTATTTGAGTGTCTAAGTGTTTGGACATTTTGTCCCCAGATGATGGTGCTGTTTTGGGAGGTTTTAGAAGATGTGGCTATCCTGGAGGAAGCACGTCACTGGGGGTGGGCTTAGAGAGTACTTAAGCCTTGCCAGATCTCCAGTCGCTCTCTTGCTTCCTGTGCCTGTGTGATGATGTGAGAGCTTAGTTTCTGCTGTTCTTGCTCCAGCTACCTCCAGCTACCATGCCTCCCTACCACGATGGACTTTAATTCCCCTGGAACCGTAAGCTCAAATAAACTCTTCCTTCTATAAATTGCTTTGGTCAGTGTTTCTATCACAGCAGCAGAAAAGTGACTAATACACTGAGGTTGACCTTGACCTCATCATATAGCTCAGACTGACCTCAAATTCACCTACTAGAATCCTCCTACCTTAGCCTCTCAAGTTACTTGGATTACAGACATGTGACACCATACATGGCTAAGAGGGCAGATCTTATTTAAATGTCCTTAGCATCATCTAACTAAGGAATTAATGAAGTAATGAACTAACCAGGGTGGGAAAAAACTTTTGGAGGCAATGGTACACATGGCATTGATTGTGGTAATGCTTTCATGGGTTTATACATATCTCCAAACCTGCCAAGTTGTATGCATTAAGTATGTACAGTTTTTTTGTATGATGATTTTAACTCAATAAAATGTTTTTTTTTTAAACACAGCATTGGGGCTGGAGAGATGGCTCAGTGGTTAAGAGTACTGAGTGCTCTTGCAGAGGAGCCGGGTTTGATTCCCAGAACCCACATGGTGGCTACAAACCATCCTTAACTCCAGTTCCAGGGGTATCTGATGCCCTCTTCTGACCTCTGTGGCATTGCATGACATGGGTGGACTCACATGCAGGCAATACACTCATAAACATAAAATAAAAATAATAAATAAAAAATAAAACATTTAAAAAACACAGCAGTGCTGGGCATGGTGGCGCACACCTGTAGTCCCAGCACTTGGGACGCAGAGGCAGGCGGATCTCTGTGAGGTCTACCTCTTTGAGTTCCAGGACAGCTGGGGCTACAGGGAGACCCTAAAGAAAAAAACAAAACAAAAACAAACAAACAAACAAAAAACAACAGCACCCCCCCCCAAAATCCATAGCAGCAATACCAAGACAAAACAAATCCAAATGTAGACCCCAAACAAATAAAGGCAACCCAAGGTTGTGCTTCAACACTAGGATGGGGAGCGTGATTAATTGCTGCCAAGTTGTATTTAGATGCTATTAGCTCTTGATAGTAAATCAATGGAAAATTAAATCTACAGCTGTGCTTTGACGTGACAAGTAAGCAGGTCAGGATATAACGGATCAGGATATACTTATGATTCAATATGAAGTTGGTAAGCTGGGATGTGGCTTTTTAAGAGTCAAACTTCAGCTAAACCACAAGGCTTATGATGGTTTATCTTCATTGTCAAGCAGGCAAGATTTAAATCACCTAGGAGACATGGTTCTGAGTATGTCTCTGAGGGTGTTTCTGAAAGGTTTCACTGAGGAAGACCCACCCTAAATATGGGTGATGTCATCCCATGGTCTGGGGTCCTGGACTGAACAAAAAGGGGAAAGTGAGTTGAGCGCCAGCATTCGTGTCTCTCTGCTTCCTGACTGTGGATGTACTACGACCAGTTGCCTCTTGTCCTTGCTGCTTTGCCTTTCCAGCAAGATGAACTATAGTCCTTCTTAAACCATGAATTGAAATAAATCCCTCCTCTCTTAAGTTGTTTTTTTGTCAGGTATTTGGCAACAGTAATGAGGAAAGTAACTAATATAGCCAGTCTCTTAGTGTTTGGTGGGATGTAGCTAGTCCATTCGAAGGACATAGCCAGGTCTAAGTCCAGATCAACCTCTTACGCTCTGTGGCTGGCATAACGTTCCTGGTCTCTGAGGCTCAATTTTAAATGTAGAAGATGAAGACAGCAATGCCTCCTTCACAGAGCTGCCACAAGGATTCACCACACCCAGCCCAGTGCTCAGAGCTCAGTGAGTACTCAGTTACAGTGGCTCCATTCCTCATGTTAGAGTCCAACTCTATTAATTCTCTCTGAACACCACTGCACTCAAAATAGAGCCTTCTATTCAATAACACCCAGACAATGTCTTTATAGCACTGACCTTGTTGAATTGATTCCTCCACTTTTCTATTATCCATGTCCCCTAAGAGGACAGTAATATAGAGATTTAATTCCAGACCCTCAATTTAAGATTCACCTTTGAAGGATCTCTTAGCCTTTCCCTACTCTGCTGGCAACTCACCTCCTTTCCCAGGAAATATTTTAAGAGTCACTTCATATAACACCACCACTGTCTGCTTTGACAACTGTATTAGTAAGGGAGGCCCACTGGGAACCCTGTCATCTTATAGCCTTAGGTTCTTAGGAGAAGCTTGTTCCCTGTTGGTTCTGGAAATGGGCTGTGCACACAGTAGGTGCTTGCTAGTGTATTACAATAGCACGGAGAATAGCAGCAGAACAAACTGAGAGAATCCCAAGGGGCATTTAACGTCTGCTCTGGAAGGCAGCACATACTGGGCTCTTCTAACTTACGACGTGAGCTTTGAAAGTGAGTGGGAGGGCTGGGGAGATGGCTCAGAGGGTAAAATCACAGAAAGCTGGACGCAGAGTAGCATGTGTCTAACCCAGCGCTCTTATAGCAAAATGGGAGGTGGATGCAGGATACTCCACAGAGGCTCATGGGTCAGATAGCCAATAAGAAACCTTGTCTCAAACAAGGTACAAAGTGAGGACTGACACCTGAGGTTGTCCTCTAACCTCCACACACGTTTCATGGCATGTGTGTGCCTGCACATTTATACATACACACACATTTTTTTTTTACACACACACATTTTTTAAAAAAGGGAGTTGGCTATCTCCTTGGTTTGAAAAGAGCAACCAAATCAACCCTGAGCAGACACAAGGCTCCCTCCCTCGCCCATGGATGTCACTTACTCCCAATGGAAAGGATCACCACAATGAAGTCGAACACATTCCAGCCGTTGGTGAAGTAGTACTGCCGTAAGGCAAACATCTTCATGACACACTCGCCTGTGAACACAGCCACGAAGAACTGGTTGATTCTGGCCAGGATCTCCGTCTTCTCCTTACTTTGCTCATCAGTCTCCACCATCATGGTGATCATGTTGAGGCAAATGAGGACCATGATTCCAATGTCAAAAGCTTGTCTGGTCACAATGTCAAAGACAAAGCCCTGATACTTGTTCTGAGAAAGCAAGAAATGGAGGCATCAGGCCACTGTTTAGTCTCTTGCATTCCACTGTTAGCTACGAGAGCACCTCAGGATCCAGGCCTGGGCATCCTTGCCTTCTCATCCTATTCTTTATCCTATGCCAGTCACTCTAGCCTGTTCCCTGAGGGCAGGAACTTTGTCCATCTTGCTTACAGTTCTAATACCTGCATAGTATCTATCACGCCATAGATCCTCAGTAACTTGAGTGAATGGAAGAGACAGAATGAGCAGCTCTTAATTAACCACATGTAACATTTCGTAACTACCCTACTGGCTTTCATGAAATTGAATTCTGTAGGAAGACATTTCAGGATTCTACATGTGTGACCACAATGGTGGTGAAGAACCTGCCATAGTCCACCAGGGAGCTTCCAGAAGCTGCCATGCAGGCAGAGAGGGGAGGTGCTGCTGATATGTGCCTTCTGCTTCACAGTATAGGGGAGTCATTGCTACCTTGCTGGGTCAGAGCAGAGAATCAGACCAGAGAGAGCCTGGTTCTATGCATACCTTTTGGTTTACATCCTGGGGTGGGAGGGGATTGCTGAGCTACTAAGCTCCTCTATTTCATCACTGAAAATGGAAAAAAAATAAAGGCCCGTTCATGGTCACATGACTTCTATTTAAAACAAGTAGACATTGGGTTGGTGCTAGATAGTGTGACTTTTGGGAATGGAGCCTCTTTCTGGCTGTTCCTGTGTCCCTGTGAGCAGGGATCACATCCTAATAACCCTTGGTCCCTTCAGAGATGATAAAGTAGGCGACTGATGATGTGACAGTCTAGAATCTATTATTTTCTTATAATGTAGTGTATGTGAGACCTGTTTTTGGTAGTTTCTATAGCAGAGAATGTTACAGAATAAAACATCCCAGTCTTTAGAACCTTTAGCTTTTTCTGTGGATAAGATGAGATTTAGATTGTGGGCTTCAGCAGAGGCACAGGATTCGTGGTATGCATGTGGTAGTGGGTTAGCTCTGCCAGGAATGGCACCCACACCCCTGGGGTGCAGAACTCCTATGCTAATGCTCCGCTTATCTAACCAGCTTGACCTGTTGGGGATTCCCAAAGGGAGCAGGTGAACATTCCAGTGACAATAACCCCATAGAAAGGAAGCTAGGCCTGGGAAGATGGAGTCTTAGCACAGTTGTCCTGGCAGGAGTGGTGTTCTAAAGAGAGATATCTGTGCCCTTCCCTTTGGTGATCACACTCCTGAGACAATAGACCTGGAGGAATTAGGATTTACCCAGGCATCTCATGGGTGAAGGAAAAGACCAAAGGTCTGGTGCCAGTCAGAGAAGGAACTTATCTTCCAAGAAGAAATTTCATACTATTCAGACAACTTGTCAAACTACCTTGAAGGATAGACTGGAGATGAGACAATGACAGGTCAGTGGATGGGACCACACCTTCACTAGGACCTCCTAGTTAGCATACCTCTTGCCCCCTATTTAAACTTAAACCTCATGTCAGGACTGCAAAGATGGACTTGGGAGTCCCTGGACTCCCCTATTTGTTTCTCTTACCAGTGTGGCCATGTTAAGTAAATCTCACTTCTTTTCTTTTCACTATTGCTTGTCTCTTTATTTGGCTTATTGAGGATGGCAGGCAGAGTCTAGCTTCTTAGGGCTGCCAGAGCCAAGGCTTGTATGCTAAAGTCTCCAGTAATGCTGGGATGAAATAGGAATTGTGTTTTTCCCTTGAGTTTCCTTCTTGGTTTTAGACTTTAAGGAGGGCAGATGATCTGGTTTGTGTCACTGGGCAGGTGATGCCAAGATGTTGGCCAGAGCAAGGATGGGCCAAGGCCTATGGGCCCTGGAGAGCAACTATGCACAGTCTGCTTAGTCTCTGCTCTGCTGGTTTCCCTAAGATTTCAAAGCTTCTTTGGAATATCCCAGCCTTCTTTCAACTTTTCTAGATTAGGGAACAAAGACATGAATGTTCATCCCACTTGGACTATAATATTAAGGGGAGAGCCATGCTCCTATACTAAGACTAGCCATGTGTTGATAGTCAGGTAGTAATACAACTCTCCTCCAGATGGAGAGCTATGAACAGAGTTGGGCTGTAAAGTCTACTTCCCTTCTCACACTACCACTGGAGGAAGTGGAGGATCCTGGCCGTGACTTCATTCTTCACTGGGAGAATTGGTCCCCACCCACCATTTCCACTCTGACTGTATTGCCTGGTATTCCAGCACTAGGTTCATGCCTTTGTATGTACAGGCCACTTTAAAAATTAAGTCTACCCTATTCTAGGGACAATGAGAGGAGGAAGATCCAGTGGCCTGTGGGGTTAGTTTATAAGAGGGGAGAAGCTGGAGGAAAGAGCTAAAAACTTGATTTTGCCAAAGGCTGCCCCAGGCACAGGATTCTCTGGTTCAAATGGGAGCTCAGCACTAATGTGGTGGCCAGTGAAGGTGACATAAACTCAGCTGCCTGCTCCTATCATCCCTGTCTCGAATCCCATTGGCTGGGTGGGCTCAGGCTTTCATCTGTATCTTTTAATTTTGAGCCTGTTACTACCCATTGGACTTGGTGTGCGTGCGTGCCTGCGTGCGTGTGTGTGTGCGTGCATGCGTGTGTGTGTGTGTGTGTGTGTGTGTGTGTGTTTCTGGATGTTTGTGCACATGTTTGTACATGCATGTGGAGGCCAGGAGACAATTTCAGGTGTTGTTCCTCAGGTGTCATTAACCTTGCTTAGCGACAAGGTCTGTAATGGCCTGGAGCTCTCCCAATAGGTTAGGCTGGCAGGTTGGTGAGCCCCAGAGATTCATCTGTGTCTGCCTCACCAGTGCTGAGATCATAAGTACATATTACCACACTCAGATATTTTAAAAAATATGTGTTCTGGGGATTAAACTCAAGTCCTCATGCTTACAAAGCAAGTAGTTCACAAATAGCTATCTCCCCCCAGCTCTCTCTCTCTCTCTCTTCCTCTCTCTCTTTTTCTCCCCGCAACCTGTCTGTGTGTGTTTGTGCATTTCTTAATAGAGAGGCACTCAGTAAGCCTTACACACTCTTGCTCAGGCTTATCAAAGCCCATTTGTCTTTATTTTATAGGGTATTTAGAAGGAATCCTCTCCCCTTACAGTGGTTGGTGCTTCCTGCCATTCACCATCTAATACTTCTTTTCAGATTCTAGAATAGTAATAAATTGATGGCCACAGTTTACAAATAAAGTGTGTAAAAGCTAATAACTGTTTTTGTCTTCTATAAAAGTTCTGAGACTCTGTGCCCACCAGGTTTGGAGTAACTTATATAAGGGTCACACCTTGATGTAGGAACCCTAACGCCTGGGCCAAAAGAAGGAATATCTCGCTAACTGCTGTGGAAAGGGCCTGGTCCTTCGTTGAAGGTCCTTCTGTGTGGGGAAGGGCTAAAGACTGTGCCATGGAAAGTGCCTGTCTTTTTCTTTATAAATGCTACATCTTAGCCATAGAAAGGGACAAGAGACCACTTTCTTTCCCTAGAGTGGACGGCTCAGGAATTGAGCACCTTCATTCCCCAAGTCTGCTCACTCATTTCCAAGAAGGATGCCACCTTAGGGCCATCCAGGGGTCTGATGAGAAGAGCCTCTGTGAGGTCATGTGTGGTATGGTTACTTTACTGGAGGGACATGAAGGCATGCCTTCTGAGATCTTCATGAGAAAAAGAAATTAAGGCGGAGTCTAGCTCTAACCTTTAGCCAATCTTTTAAACTGCAGAATGGGATGCATTTGGTTCTTTGGTCATTAGGCCACTGGACCATGCCTATGTCTACATCTTGGATCCTAGGGGTATTGGGTTTTGACTATATCCCTTCCAGTCTGCCCGTTATAACATAGATCACTGTACACGAGCATAGACATGTTTCGTCTCTTGGGCGCTAACTACCGTTACAATCTCTAACCACTCTTACTATCATTTGGCAATCTATTTGACTTTGATTGGACCCTAAATTGTTGGGAATGTAGTGCTTCCTCAGACAAGTTTATCTGAAGCAGCTATAGCAGCTATTTTTACTTGAGAAGACTAGGTTCTTCATTTAAACTCTCAGTTTTGGGGCCTGGGAAACTTCCTCATTTTAGACTCAACCCAGGTCTCTTCTACATAGCAGTGGCTAGGCTCCCACTCACCCCAGGCTGTATCCACAAACCTGCTGTTCTAGAGAGAAACTTAGTGGCTCACCAGGGGCCGTGGGATGGGCTTCTGGGGCTTCTTGGAGCCCAGCTTCTTCATGGCATTGTAGTACTTTTTCTGTTCCTCTGTCATGAAGATGTCCTGGCCCCCTAGGTGCAAGGGAGGATCACACTGCTGTTATTAAAGTAACGAGGTCCCCAAGGTACAACAAAACCTGAGAATTCTGTATGGAAAGAACCATTCCAGCCCTCTCTCTTCTGCAGGAAAGCACTCCAAGCCTAGGATGAAGAGTATCTTGTCTGGGTGAAGCTGAGCCTGACCTTTGGCTGCAGGCTGTTCATTCTAGGTAAATTCAGTGAGCTTCTGGAGTAATTCCCTGCCAGGGAACAAGAGCTTCTCTTGCATCTGGAGTAAAGACTCAGGGACATAGAAGCTTAAATCTTTTCTGGACAGGATGGGGGGGGTGGAGATCTGGGGATAGTCATTGCTTTATCCTTGGGATTATGACCTTTGAGGGGCTTTTGATGGGTTCTTGTGAGGCCTGCCAACTGTACTGCCCTCTGCTGCTATGATGTTAGACCATACACCGCTGGAGAGGGCTTCCACCCCAGGCCTGGGTGGATTGAGTGGTAGTTCTTGGGAACTTTTGGACTTCTTTTTTCCAATATTTGCACTTTCTGACATAATTTGGAAGCCTGTTTCAGTGGCTTGCTCATGGAAATTTGTCGTTGTGAATGCTGGGAAAAAATGAGCTGATCTGTGGACTGGGAGAGATGTTGTCTCTTGCTTTGCTTGACCACAGGCTCATTGCATTCCATCAAACAACAAAGACCTCAGTTTCCTCCTCTGTAAATTGAAGAAAGCATTGTCTACAAGATTTCAAAGCCCCACCAGGTTCTGGTGGTACTGGTCGGTACTATATTGCTGAGCTCCCCCTGGGGCTCCTACAGACCCCTCCTGACCTTTCCCAATGCCCAGGACCATGGCTGAGGATTTCCTATAGGTGGGATGCTTGCCCCACTGAAGAGAGATTCTAAATTATAACAGAATCATTGAGCATCCAGTGCCCACTATGTATTCAGTACTAAACTAGTTGCCCTTTCTATGGGGTTTTATTCACCTTGTGCCACATTTTTGGGAATACAAACTATTAATCCCATTGGATAGGTGAGAGAAGTAAGAGCCAGAGAGGGTGTGTATGTGTGTGTGTGTGTGTGTGTGTGTGTATGTGTGTGTATGTTGTATGTATGTGTTCATGTGAACATGTTTATGTGGGCATGCAGGTACATACATACCCATGTGCCCCTGCATATGGAGGTAAGAGAATGTTACCAGGTGTATTCCTCAATTGCTCATCACCTTATTCTTTGAAGCAGGGTCTCTCACTACACCTGGAGCTCACTGATTCAGCTAGGCTGGTTGGCCAGTGAACTTCAGAGATCTGCCTGTCTCTGCCTCCCTAGCTCTGGGATTACAGGTGTGTGGTATGAGGGATCTGAACTCAGGTCCTCATGTTTGTGTGGCAAGCACTTTATTGACTGAACCATCCCTACCCTCTTCCCTAAGGTTTAAAATATTGCCAGTACCACCTGTCCAGCCAGGAATAGAGCCAGGAATGTAAACCCAGGCTTGTGTGCTGCCAAAGGATGTGTTGGGCTGTGTGGTTCAACCTCATGACTCCTTTTCTTCCTGGATCTCTGTTTACATGAACTTAGAATGCTGCCCTCTCTATTGCAGAGGTGCCACATGAGAGGACAACACGAAGGCCTTTTATACCTTTAACACTCTCATGTTTTATTGTAATTTGATATTATCTGTGATTAGGTCCCTATGAAGCTGAGTCAGCATCCATGGAGCAAGCGCCTTCTTCCCCATCCCAAAAAGGTTGGGGTTCTGCCAGTGCTTGAGGCCCTGGCCCTTCCTGAGGTGTCCTGACTCAGTCCTTTGGCAGTCAGAGCTCTAGAACAGCAAGTGCCAGAGTCCTTTCTTTCCCTGTTGGTACTTCCTAAGGGGCCATCTGTGACACTTCCAACATACTTGATTCCAGCTGGGAAGACTGAGGTCACTCTGGGAAGAGGGAGGGGAAGCTGGGGTGGAAAGCATTGCTCATACTGTGTGAAGTCCAGCTCTCCCAGCAGTAGTAGCCCCAAGCACTAGACCGGGATGAAGAAGACACCCAGGGACAAATGTCAGCCTGGTGCTACAGGCATGAAAGACCAGGAGGCCACAACTGTCGAGGGAACAGAAAGTACAAGATTCATTACTATGGAAAAGATACCCAAACCCTACTTATCTTTTTTTTCTGTTGATTGAAGTTGTCGATTATGACCCCAACAAAGAGATTGAGTGTGAAGAAGCCTCCGAAGATGATGAAGACGATGAAGTACAGGTACATGTATATATTATCCTCCCACTTGGGCTGATTGTCCACCTACGGTCAAGACAAGGCGGGAGATGGCAAGGAGGGTGGGTATTTTAGTTTAGATTTTCCCTGAAAGTCAACCCTGAGGCAAGGCTCTGGGTGCAGTAGTTCATCTTGGGAAGTGGGATCAAGGGAGTGAGAGCAAAGCAGGAGCAGAAGTGAAAGTCTGATGAAGGGGGTATTACTAACCAGGCAATTGCTGCAGGCAACTGGGGCTCTATCCTGTGCACTCCTCTGAGGACTATAGAAATACCCCAGAATGGTACCACCAAGGGAAACTGATGTGTTTATCTATGGGCTCCTAAGACTTATCAATGAGAGTGGCTCCCAGGGACATCGCATCCCCTGTCTTTGGGATAGAGGCTGCTGAGTAAGTTCTAGAACACTGAAGAAAGTATTCAAAAAAGAAAAGGATGGAAATTCAAGAGGACTCCTAGGTGGGCTGGAGGACATGCAGGGCATCATTTGTGCCTGCCACACCAGGAAGAGATCCTTCCTTACCAGTACAGCTGTCCTATATGGGCTCATGTGTTTGGACATTTGGTTTTCATCAGATGGAACTGTTTGGGAAGGTTATGGAACCTTTAGGAGGTGGATCCTTGTTGGAAGCTGTGGATACTTGTGGGTGCTCCTTGAAGTTTTATAGCCTAGCCCTACTTTCTGTCTACTCTCTGCTTCCTGACTGAGGATGAGACCTGACCAGCCTCCTCACACTCCTGCTGCCATGCCTTGCCCACCATGATGGACTATATCCATATCCCTTTTAACAATAAGCTGCCCTGACCAAAAAAAAAACAAAACAAAACAAAAAACCCTCAAACAACCTACATCCTTCCTTACATTGCTTCTTGTCAAGAGTTTGGTCACAGCAACAACAAAAGTAACTAATAAAACCACTCCCACCTGGCCCTTATGTATGCCTGACATTTCTTCAAATTTGTTCTTAGTCCAACCACTGCCCTGGTTCCCACCCCTGTCTAGGGAGTGGATTCAAGTACACTGTCTTTTAGAGAGTATCTGATGGTCTCTTTGATGGAGAGCAGAGGATGTGCTTAAGAAGCCTAAGGAGCATGCATGAAAGGGCACAGGATAATTAGGCCAGCTGGATGTAGCTGCAGAGATGGGTTGTGGGAGGCTGATGGAAGACTGGCTCTTTTGGCACCAAACATTTGAATCATTTCAGATACAGCCAGATGCAACAAGACACATAGAGCAGAAGGCTACGGGCATAAGGGGCCAAGACTCACCTCTCGAGAATCAACAGCTGCATACATAATGTCCATCCAGCCTTTGAAGGTTGCCTAGAAACAAAAAGCAGAGGACTTTCAGTGTGTGCCCATCTAACTGGACCCTTCTCAGGCCATGTTTGCCCAGTGGGAGAGAGCAGGAAGCTTAGTAGGGGGGCTCAAGGAAGAAAGAGCTTGGGTTTAAAGGGAGAGGAAAAGAATCTTTGGGCTCACTTGATAGATGGAGCCCATACCTGGCACTGTTATCAGAGCCAGGACCCTGTGTGGGTAGACAGGTCAGGGGCTGTACAGGAGAACCTACTATGATTTTTTTTTGCTAAATAGACATAGTATTAAACCAATTCCTAAAGATTTATTGTTATATTCATAGATTAGTTCATCTCTCAGCTCTCACCAGAGAAGCTTCTTGCAGATGGTGATTAACACAGAAACCCACAACTGGGCAATGTGCAGAGAATAAGAGACTGCAGAGTGCTAATGGGATACTATATCACACATTCACCTCCCAAGGCTCAGAGATCACTGTGGAAGAAGGGGCAGGAAGATTGTAAGAGCTAGAGGTGGTAGATGAATATAAGGAAACGATGTTGTCTGGACACCACAGGGTAGTTATACATATGAACTCACAGCACTTGTGACAGCATGCACAAGACTAGTGCAAGCCCAAGCCAGACAAAAACCCAGCATGGATGGAGGGAGGTGGGCAAGAAGTCCAAGCCCTAGCTGAGGATCTACTGGCAACTGTTAGCTGCTGCTGGGAAATAGAAAGTTAATTTTTTTTAAGGGTGTGACACCTTGTAGGTTGACCACACTCTGAAGGATGACCCCAAACCCAAGAGCATTTGAGGAACACAAGTTAGAATCTATAGGCTTAAAAACCAAAAAAAGATAAAAAAGGGGCTGGAGAGATGGTTCAGCGGTTAAGAGCACTGACTGCTCTTGCAGAGGACCTGGGTTCAATCCCCAGCACCCACATGGCAGCTATGAACTGTCCTTAACTCCAGTTGCAGGGGAATCCCAAGCCCTCTTCTGAGCTCCGCAGCATTGCATGACACAGGTGCACTCACATACATGCAGGCAATACACTCGTACACATAAAAAAAAAAAAATTTAAAAGACAAAAAAAGAAAAAAAACCCACATAAAGTCAGGAAGGGGGTGATAGGATGGGGAGGATGGAGAAGATGGGGGAAGGAGTGTCTGAATATGATCAAAATATATTGCATGAAATTCTCATTTTGTTCTCATTCTCAAAGAATCAATAAAATGTTTTTTTAAAAGAGTCATTGGGTAACTTGACTAATTTCACACAATTTAAAGTAGTTCATCTGTTTCTGAATAGAGTGGCATTGAAGACATGGAACTTCCTAGACCATGATCTCAGCTGGGACCCTAGTTGCCAGGATGTAGGACCAGTTCTATGAGGTTGCTCTGTACCCCATTGGGGTTGCCATCTTCCCAGTCATTTTCCCACCTTGCGTGCATGATATAAAATGGGATATGTATCTGGAAGATAGAAGCCGGGACTAGGAGACCTCCACATTTCTGTCTCCAGTTTTAGCATTTGTGTGTGTGTGTGTGTGTGTGTGTGTGTGTGTGTGTGTGTTTCCTCTGCTCATGCATACAGAGGCCAGAGGAGATTTCTGGATGTCCTCTATCACTCTTTGCCTTATTTCCTTGAGATTGGGTCTCTCAATGAACGTGGAGTGCCGAGGATCTGAACTCAGGTCATCGTGCTTGTGCAGCAAGGGCTCTTATCCACTGAACCATCTCCCCAGCCCAGTTTTAGTGTTCTTAAGGTCACAAAGCTAGGTGTGCTCTGTAATAGACCTCAGGCTTTGCTCCTCTAGACCTGTTACAGCATTTGCTGCACAGTTTCCATTTACATATTTGTTCATTTTTTCTAATAGCATCAGTGCCTGGAGCCAGTTCTAACTGTATGTCCTGGGAGTAAGCACAGTTCCTGGAAGGCCATAGCTACTCAGGGATTATTCATTCCCTGAATACATGATCAAGAGGTGAAATGCAGGAACTCACAGGTAAATGTGCCAGATGTATAAGCAATGTAACCACACTTTAATGAAGCAACAACTGAATGAGCAAGTGGATGAAGGAAGGGGTGAATGGATGAATGGAAAGTGTGACTGTGTTTGACTCTTGTCTCCAGTATTATCCACCATTACAATAATTTAATTAGCTATAATGCATTATCATTTAGGAGACAATGAGAAGTAAAGACTGAGCTGTGGCTATGCCATGCCTTTCTGTACAGGTGGTGTATTGTAAGCCATCAGTTGATATGACCCTATGACAGATACAGCTTTCTATTCCATTCTCATAGTCAGACTCACCTAATTTTAGCCTGGGAGCTCAGAGCTCACTAGTGTGCCATCTGTGGAGATACAGAATGACTTCAGGTCACACTTAGTATAACCCCTTACAGCATCTCTACATAGATTCTTCTGGAAGACCCTGGAAGCTCCATTTATTGATCAGACAAAAGGAGTAGAACAATGGATTTGAGAAATGACTCACCACCTGAAGAAGTGCAAGGTAACCCATCGCAACGTTGTCAAAGTTGACTTTCACATTGACCCAGAAGAAGCAGCCAGTGTAGTTTTGATTCCGACAGTCTTCTCTGTTGTCCACCATTGTTGAATTCACAACAGAAAACGGATTACTGCTGATGTTGACACACCTCCAAAATTTCCCTGCAAAAAGGTTCACGCCCATGATGCTGAAGATGAGCCAGAAGATGAGGCAGACGAGGAGGACGTTCATGATGGAGGGGATAGCACCCACCAGTGCATCCACCACTACCTGGTCGGAAATAGAAAATGACTTGGAATCCCCAAATTGTCACTTCTCCTTACTAGATCCCATTGCTTTCTTTCTCCTTCAAAAATGCTTGTGTGTACACATGTATGTGCGTAAGTGTGTGTGTGTGTGTGTGTGTGTGTGTGTGTGTGCACATGTGGAACCCTGGATGTTATGTCAGGAACACCATTCATCTGCTTTGAGGCAAGGTTTCTGATTGTTCCAGATCTCACCAAGTAGGCTACACTGGTTGGCTAGGGAGCCCCAAGGTTCTACCTGGCTCCACCTCCTCAGCATATACCATCATGCCCAACTTTTATTATTATATGTATTTTAACATGGGCTCTGGGGATTGAACTCATGTCCTCTTGTTTGCAAAGTAAGTACTGATTGAACTATCTTCCCAGACCCCAAGTTAATTTTAAAACACCATTTTTATTTGTTAAGCTATAGTGATTACTTTGAGCCAACAGTGGAGGTAGGACAGGGTAGAAGCTGACAACAGTGGAGAATGAAGGGCCAGTGGGAGAGAAAATTCACAGTACGTAATGACTGTGTTAGGAGAGATGTGTTATGGTGGGTGCTAAGATGTGGAGCTGAGGATATCTCTATATTTCCATGGGATATTGGAGAGAAGATGGAGCACTGAGTGTTCTGTAGGTGCTGGGGACAAGAACAAGAAGCAGAGTTGGGAGGCAGAAACAGAAGATATAACTCTGAATCAGGACCACTTCCCTGAGGGAATGAGGTAGGGTGGTGGTGATATTTATGGGCAACAATGGAAAAGGTTTTTACAGGAGACCCTGAGGGGGAGACAAGGATGGGCTCTGTGACCAAAGTCTGAGCAAGAAGGGGAGACACTGAGTCAATCTCTGGAGGTGGAACCTGGAGTTTTGGGTCAGTAGTATGAAAGCATGGGTGGGGGGATATATTATCAAATGCTGAGGAGTTCTGAGACAGGTCTTACCTTCATGCCTTCAAATCGAGACAGAGCCCGCAGTGGCCTCAGGGCACGGAGTGTCCGAAGAGCTTTGATGGGTGCCACATCTGAATAATCAAGAATCTTTGCTATGAGGCTTGTCAGAGAGATCTGAGAGTAGGCAGAAAGGAAAACATTACCCCAGGGTTCTAGAAAACAGCCTTGTGGAAAGAGACAGGAACTCTCTGTCTAGCTTCCCAGTTCCTGCTTCGTCTCTCTAGGCTGTTGCCCTGGCTCCCACATTATTCTGAAATCCAGGGAAAAAAATCTAGAAAGTAGAAAGCCCTTCTCTTTTAGAAAAGTAAAAATGTTTATTAGCGCATACTAATTTTACATAGTAATAAGCTTCATTATGACATGTTCATACATGTATATGTTTTGATAATCATATTTACCCTGCCATGACTCTCTACTGTCCTCCTTCTCTCATTGATTTCCTTCCTCTTCCTAACTAGAACCATTTCTACTTCATGTCTGTCTGTCTGTCTGTCTGTCTGTCTGTCTGTCTGTCTCTGTATGTGACCCAATGAGTTTCCTATAAGTTTGCTTATAGGAGCATAGCTGAGGGGTTACTTATAAAGCCCGGGCACCTTACCAATGGCTACACCACTGAAGAAATTGTTTCTTCCTCCTCTAGCAACCATTAACTTCCTATAGATCCTTTGGGACGGGTGGGGTCTCAGGAGCCCCTTCTCACTCATGACAGGATGTTGATGGGCTCAATCATGTTCAGATAATCACAGCTGCTGTGAGTTCAAGAGTGCAATGTCCATGTCATACTCAGAAGACGGGCTTCCATGACACTCCACCCCTTCCTCTGGCTCTTACATTCTTTCCACCCCCTTTTCTGTGATGTCCCCTGAGTCGATTCATTACTCACATGGACTTCTAGACAATTAAAACCATTCCCACACATTGATGCTCCCTAGATTCAGGCGGCCAAGCTTCCTTTCTGCTCTAGGGGTGGCAGTTAAGCTCCAACTTTAAATTTTTATCAACTTTCAGAGAGTTGGGGAACTGGTATCCCTTCATTGGGTATATAATGAAAGCCCATTTTGAGGGATTTAAATTTAGTCTCAATTAGATTTGCTCAGAAAAATGGGCTGGAAAGAATCCTGTGTGTATGTGTGTGTGTGTGTGTGTGTGCGCGTGTGTGTGTGTAAGTCCTGCTTGACTAATTTAGAATCCTTTTACCCTTTGTGAAATGAAGGAGTCAGATAAAAAGAGTCTGGGGAGTCAGACCAAAAGACAGATAGTTCATATAGCTGGACAGTTGTCAGTAAGAAGAACACATGGCAGAGGTCCCTGAGATCTAGTTTTGATATGTTCTGAAATATGACTGGGTTGTGCATTCCTGTTGGTCTGTTAGTTTTCTTTAGGTGACAGCAAAGGACACAGGTTGTTCCAGAAAAGAAGTCACCCCTTTCAGGAACTTTCAAGGTGCTGGGGTGACACTCTGGGGATAAACTTGAGCCTGATGGGGCTGTGACCCAATCCTACAAGACTCCAGTTGGTGACGAATTGAGGCTCAGCTTACTCTGGCACCAGGACTTTAGAAAGCAAGGGGGTGACATGAGTACCTGAGTCTGAAATCATACACATTCCAATTCTAGCAGGATAACAATAACAAAACTTGATGGAAAACTCAATATTCTAGCAGGATAACAACAACAAAACTCGATGGAAAACTCCTTCCTGCATTATTAATACAAGGCTCCAGACACCAGCAGGCACCCAGTTGTCTGGCTGGCTGAGGGCAATGTCGTTTGGGGCTAGTATGCTGGATTTTATTTAGTCCTTTGCACATCCCCTGGGGGAAGGCTGCTTCATGTACAAATTTCACTGGAGCAGGCATTTTCAGTAAAGTCCACCCACTTGGGCACAGCTCTACTCCCATTGCTCAGGTCAAACTCATAGTCCTCCCTCAACTACCCCAGTGCTGGGATTATAGGCATGTACCACCATCCCTGTCTGAGTATTTATTTATTGTTTTTGTGCTTCCCAGAGCACTTCATATAGCAATCTTGTGTTCATTAGATTTAAATAAACATTTAATAAATGCAAGAAAAGGAAGAAGCATGTTGGGGTGGGTGAAAGGAAGGAAAGAAGGAAGAAGGAATACTTGGATGGGAAGTTGGAAGGATGAGTGGATAGAAGGATGGACCAAAAGCCATAAAAATGGGTAGGATAGATAGTTGAATGGAAGGACTGGAGAAAGAAATCAAAGAAAGGAAAACACAGGGAAGCAGGGAAAGGATGGAGGAACGAGTGGCCATCAGAGTGACTGGTGGGAAGATGGGGACGTGGAAAGATGGAGAGTGGGCTGAATAGATGAATGGAAGCAATCAGTGACTGGTTAGAAGGTCGAGTGAATGGATGGATGAAGGTGGCGGGGATGGATGAACAGGTGAGGGAAATACAGGGAGGAGAGACAGTGTTCTTTTTTTCTGTTGTGATTAAACATCCTGACAGAAAGCAACTGAGGAAGGGTTGATTTGGCTTATAATTCCAGGTTATAGTCCATCATTGAGGGGAAGTCGAGGCAGAATTCAAGCAGCTAGTCACATCACATCCACAGCTAAGAGCAGAGACAAATGAGACAAATGAATGGATTCTTGCTTGCTTTCTGGCTGTGTATGCTCAGCTAGCTTTCTTCAAGGGCTGGCCATGGAATGGTGCCTGCTACATTCAAGGGAGGGGTCTTCTCATCTCAATTAACAATTAAGACAATCCCCCCAAACACACGCACAGGCCAACCTGATCTAGATAATTCCTCAGTTGAGACTCTCTTCCCAGGTGATTTCTAGGTGTTGGCAAGTTGACATTTAAAGCTAATAATCATCACATATGGATAAAGGAAGAATGGAAAAATGGTAGATTATGTAGGCAGAAGGAGAAATGAGAGATGCTTGGACAGACGGCGCATGAATAGGTGGAGAGAAGGTTAAGTGACTGGCTATTCGGTTAAAAGGAAGAATCAAAAGATAGATATAAGGGTTAAAGACCAATAGGCTAATGGACAGAAGGAAGGTGAGGATGAATGGGTAGGCAGAACAAACAGGGAGGAAAAGATGAATGGCAATGTATAGCTGGAAGGAAAGGCCTGGCAGAGACAGACAGTTGGAAGAGTAAAGCTGGACAGATGCTTGGGGGGAAGGAAGAAGGAAGAGGGAACGTTTAAGGAGAGATGTGGAAAGTAGGACAGAGGGATAGAATGAAGATTCAGTAGGAAAATGGACAGAACGAAGAGCCTTTGTGAAGTAATCAGACCTGGAAGCTGATGAAGTCTATATAAGTGAGAGCTCTTGGCAGGGTGGCAAGCCAGAATAAAACATTTTCCTTTCATTTATGAATGACTGTTTTATATGCACAGAATTATCACCTGTGACTCAGATCCCAGGCCTCTCAGTAAGTCCCGGTGGTACAGTGGCCTGATGCCACTAGTGTACTGGTGTCAGGGAAGAAGAGAATTCACAGACCTACTGTGGAGGCCTTGCCAACATAGGAGGCTGGACAGAATGTTCTGTACTGGACCCCAGCCAGCAATCACCAAGTACAGACACATTTCCTGATACTTCTAATGTGCAAGACCCTGGTGCTGGTGGCTGCTGGAAAAGGGAGAGAGCCAAACACAGCCTATGCCTCACCCAGCCTGCAGGAACCCTCAGCTAGACAGCAGTGAACAATAACTCAGGTTACCATATTGAAAAGCAAAAAAAAGAGAGGTGGCCTGGAAAGGAGCAGGACAGTAGAGTGGTTAGGATGCAGGAGTAATGGAAGACCATGTAGAAGGCACATGCTCAGTCCCCTAACCAGGGCTTAGGGCTCACAGGTTATGAGTCTTTCTATACATGAGCTCCAGTTCCAGCTGGACCTTCGGTTGCTTTTAGGAACGCTGCAGTGGTATCAGCTCAGCGGCTCACAACCATAACAGCATGTTAGAAATGACTGGGAGTTTCTACAAAATAATGATGCATGGACCCTGCACAAGATCTCTGAGGGAGTAGTGCTTGTGTGCTCTAGACAATTCCACAGCATAGACAGGACTTGGAGACCACAGAACAAGCAGGTAGGTGTTTGAAAACTACAACTAGCTCCCTGAGGTCCAGAGCTCCGGCAGTGGGTGATTGTTGCAGTGGCTCTTCCCAATGGAGGCTTGTAGCTTGTGGACTCACTTGAGTGTCACCATTGTGTTCGAATCGTGGGCGGCCTGGAGCTTACCATTCACTGACATGCAAGGTTATTTTGACTCCTTATTCAGTGCTCAAAGTTTGTCTTTGGAGCAGACCCTGATAGCTGAGTCTGAGAGCTGCTTCTGTACTAGCTCTAGCCCCCCATCCATGGCAAGGACCCCAACCCTAACCCCACAGTGCCCATGGAGCCACTCACATTGACAATGAGGAAGTCCAGCCAACACCAGGCATTGGTGAAGTACTTTTTGAAGCCATAGGCCACCCACTTGAGCAGCATCTCAAACACAAAGATGAAGGTGAACACCCTGTCCGTGTACTCCAGCACAGACTCCACCCTTGGCTTCCTCTTCAGGTAGTAATCTTCAAAGGCCTGGGGGAAATGGGAAGAATGGCTGGCTTCCAGGACCAATAGCCTCAGGCCCTGCCCCCAGCCCCGGGAACAGCTGCAGTTTCCAGCTTGGCTGGGTTGCTTTCTTTTCTCTGCTCTGAGGATTTGAGGTGTACAGTTGAAATATCGAGAGATACAAACCAAGACTTTGCAGCCCACAGGGCTAAGCACCCGATACTTTGAAGGACTGTTGAATGAAAGCGAGAAAAGAAACCTTCTTGAATTGGATTTTGGAATCGAACCAAAGGGATCCTCATGGTGACTTGGTTTAAAAATAAAAGCATGGAAGGATGTTTGTAGGCAGTTCACAAAAAATGAGAGAATTGTCAAGACGCTCTGAAAAAGAATGTTCTAGCTCACTGGTAATCAAAGTAAAAGAGGATGCCATTTTTTTTTTTTTTAAATCAGTGGTAATGATGAAAAAGAATGGAGAGGACCCCAGGGTTGGTGTGTCTACTGGGAATTCACTTTCATGGGTGACTGGTGGGAGTGAGAACCAGCTAGTCTTTGGGAAGCCAAATTGGTAATATGACTCCAAGGATTTTGGAAGCAAGTAATTCTATCTTTGAGGACTTCCTCAAAGGATGCTAGATGCTATCAGTGTCCACCTGACTCTTTGCAGGAAGCCAGTGCTTCCATCCCCAGCTGCTGGGAGTGGCTTCACTGACCTGAATCAAACTAGATCCAATTTAGGAAGTGCTTCTCAGGTTAGATCCCCCCAGCCCCCAGCAACACTGAAGCATGGGCTTATAAGGATTCCCTTTTGCCTCCAGGTGGAACACCTCTGTGGTGCTCTGAGTTGTCAGGGATCCTGTGAGATTAGCCAAGGCTGGACTTCATCTTCTCTCAGCTCTTTATCCTGCTCCACCCTGATTCTCTCCTTTGCTTCACCTTCGCAGTAAACTGCTGGCTCAAGAGACATGGCTTCTGCTTCTGCATCTGACACAAGCCTAAGACGGGCAGTCATTCAGTATCTCCAACAGTTGCACAATGTCTCCAACCATTATTCAACATCTCCTGACTATCATTTGATATCTCCAACCATCATTCTGTACTCTGCCCATCACTTAGTATCTCTGACAGTCATCAATATCTCTGACAACCACTCAGTGTCTCTGGCCATCATTCAACATCCCTGACAAGCATTTCATATCTCTGGCCATCATTCAATAGTTCTAGGCAGTGCACTTCAAGATGTGACGCATATGAAGAGTGAGCTCAGGGACTGGTTGAATGAATTCTGGCACACTCCTATAATGGAGAATGTTTTGGCCATTACATGACTTTGTGTGGTCATTTTCCTGAGAAAATTTACCAAGAAATTATAGATTGCATGCATATGTTTTATTTTATAATATTTATGTATTCTATGCATAAGAAAGATGGGGCAGAGTCACACCAAAATTTTTTTCAAAGTAAGTTTCTCTTTGAGTGATAAGAAAATGGGCGATTTTTTTTCCTTTACCTTTTTCTATAATTTCCATTTTTTTCATTTTACTTTGTGAGATGAAAATTCATGTTTTTTTTTTTTAAAGCACTCAAAGTAAAAACATAAAAAAGACTAAATTTGGTGCAAGTCTATTTGGTCCCATGGGGTAGGAGGTAGGGAGTGGAGGGGGGCTGATGGCAGGGTGGGGCTGGGGCAGAGCACCTGTTGCAGGATCTGATTGCTCTCTTGGGAATGGGGAGGCTGGTGCTGGAGTATAGAGAGGGGAGGAGAGAGAGGGGAACAGCAACCAAGATCATAGAAGGGAGCCACTGGAGGGAGCCCATGGAAAGACAGGAGCTGAAAGGTACAGAGGAAAGCACCCAGTTAGTAGCAAGGGGTGAGGGCAGGGTGTGGGGTGGTCATTTATACCCAGCAGGGCAGGAGGAAGAGAGGGTGTGAAGAAGCCCCCACCCACTTCCCCTTGTTCCCTCAATTTGGCCCCTGCTGTGCCATGGCCTGGGAGGACAATTAGAGAACAGCATGGGGTCCCTGGCCTTCAGATGTTGCTGTCCCTCATGCCACTATGCTCAAGATAGCAGATGGGCTCTGCCTAGGAAACTCTTCTTTCTGGGCTTTGTGTTGCTGCCCTAGTTTTCCTCCTACCTCTCAGATTGCTCCTTGTCCCTGAGGCTGAGGCTGCACACTGAGAAGTTCTAGTTCTCTTCCTGATCAGTCCTAGGCATTTAAGTCAGTGCCCAGATATTCAAAAGACGGTTTTTAGGGTGAGGACACCAAGATGCAAGACAAAGGAATGCACACAGAGCTGCCAATCAGAAAAATGGGGCTCAAGTCCCAGCTCCTGAACAAATTACCTCAGCTAAGTCTTTGGCTTCAGCATTCTTATCTATGAAGTATGGCCAACTGGGGATGGGAAGTCTCTTCCTATGTCTATGTCCACTTTGTTCAATTGAGATGAGCACTTGACATTGTGTAGTGAGCCTAAGCCCCTGGAGAGAGAACCTTTTTCCCTCATCCTTCAAAGCCCAGCAGTCACTTAGTTACTCAATATCTGAGAACTCCATGAATTTCTACCCCCTAAGAGCTTGCTGTTCAGAGTACAGCTCACAGCTTCCAGTGTTGTCCTCACCTGGGAGCTTGTTAGAAATGCAGTTCTCAGGTCCCATCACCAACTGAACCTGCATTTTCACAAGCTCTCCAGATGACAAATTTAGGGAAGTGGTGCTGGAGTAGACTTTGGTGAGATCTGAAGGAGCAATATCAAGGAAGGATGGTCTTTGTATCAGGCTTCAGAGAAAGCCTTTGTGTTTGGGAGGTTAGAGGGTAAAGCCAGGGGCTGGGGAATCCGTTATGAATAAAGTTATGTTTTACTGCTGCCAAATTGGGTGATCTTGGGCAAGTCCCCTGTGATGGTTGGTTTTAAATATCCACTTGCTACAACTTAGAATCACCCCAGCAGGGAGCCTCAGTTGAGGAATTGTCTATATTAGGTTGGCCTATGGGCATGTCTGTGAGGTATTGTCTTGATTATCTTAATTGATGTGGGCAGATCAATCCCAAATATGGGTGGCATTTTCTGGTATCAGCCTAGAGGAAAAAGCATGGCAGAAGAAAGATGATTTGTCTTCTGCTCACTTGGCCTCCTCTCTTGCCACTGAATTAATGTACTCTGTTGTATCCAGCCTCATGGACTGAGTAATTACTGGGTTCTTGGCTTCTCCAGTATGGGACAGCCATAGTTGGATTATTCCAACTGCTGAGGCATCCACCTTCATGGGCTGATCAACTACTGGGTTCTTGATCTTTCAGGTGTGAGACAGCTGTTGTTGGACTATTTTAACCATATTTCACACTCTGATTTAATAAATCTTTTTAAAAATATACATATATTTGTTCTATCAGTTCTGTTCTTCCATAAAACCCTCATAACATTCCCTAAACCTGTTGAGCCTCAGTTTCTCTACCTATAAAGTGGAAGGCATGCACACATTGCTTGAAAGCTGGTAGCCAGGTTTAGAAGGCCATTCCATGGCCATGCTGGCATCTTCCATGTCCAGCTATTCATGGGTGTGCTGGGCTGCAGGTCTCCTACCTGTAGGCTGGGGACTTTCAGCTCAAGTCTTGGGGTAGGGGGGTGGGGGAAGTGCCCACCGAGGCAACTCCAGGGCCTTTAGATTCCAGCCCAGCTGGAGGTTAATGAGGCAGGAACCCCACTTCTCCTTACCAGGGACCCACTGCTGAGCAGGATCATGAAGATGATGAAGCTCTCAAACCAGTTGTGCTCCACGATGCGATAGCAAGTCTTGCGTACCTGCCAGCCCGTGGCCCATGGAAACTTACTGGTATTTACTTTGCAGCAGGGACAGCGGCGGGTACAGCCTGGAGGGAAAGGTGTCTTAGTTAGCTTTTATTGTCAACTTGACACAGCCTAGAGTCATTTTAGAGGAAGTCTTCAACTGAGGAACTGCCTAGATCAGACTGGCCTGTGGAGGATTCTCTTATTGTTAATTGATATAGGAAAGCCCAGTCCATAGTGGGTGGCACCATTCCCTGGGCAGGTGGTGTCCTGGGCTGTATAAGAAAACTAACCAACTAACTAACTAACTAACTAACTAACTAACTAAGCATGAATCTTTGAGTGAGCCAGCAAACAGTATTGTTCCATGGATTCTGCTTGAGTTCCTGCCTTGACTTCCCTCATTGATGGACTGTGCCCTGGGAAGTGTAAGAAAAAAAAATTCCCTGAACCTATGCTGGACTGGGGGACCACTACTTGACTGGGATGGGGCCTGGGTCCAGACTAGCCCAAGTTCAAGTGGAAGTAAAAATTCAACGAAGTGACCTTCCCATAATTTCTACTTATTTAAAATTACTGAGGCCATAGTTGCCTTCCTAGTAGAAAGTATTTGCTTAATCATCCAGCACACAAGTGTTTATGGAAAATGTATTACATCTCACTTTTGGAAACACCAAGGTCAAAAATGAATAAGCACAGGTTCTGCCTTTCAACATGGCATCAGGGATTGAAGGGAACTCCATGGGCCTTTTGTGATCCTTTATGTCCCCAGTCAAGAGTTCATGGAGATGTTAACTCCCTTTTCAAACTCAAGAGGACTTGTTTATAATCCAGTGAGGTGTTCTTGAGGGTGACAAGGGAGGAAAGGTGCAGTGTCTGCCCCATACAGCACAAGCAGGGACATTTGTGTTGGCACAGGTATCACTAAGCCTGGAGTGAGCCTGTCTGTTTGGCTCCTGTGGATCCCAGACCAGGGCTCTGGACACAGAGGTACCTGGGTAAGTGCTGAGTGAGATTCTGGCCCTGATTATTGTGAGCATGAGGAGGCCCAGGCCCTGTACCTTCTGTGAAGCAGTCATCTGGTTCTTCTAGTTCATCTGCCAGCTCAGGGATCTTTCTTAGGATCTCCTCAGGATCCGGGCAGTCCACGGTGCTGCCCTCAGAAGAGCTCGTGTCATCCACTCCCTGCAGAGCAGAGGCCCACAGCAGTGAATATGATTGAGGAACCTGGAGAATCTGTAGATGGCCAGTGCAGGTCTGACTGGCTGGGATCCCTGAAGGGCTCTGTCGCCTGCTGCCCTGGCATCCTAACGTGCTTGGGCTTTACTGATGCTCCCTGTGGAGCCTCTGTGACTTAGCCCAGCCAGGATGTAAACCTCCAGGCTCTGATGGAGAGCTGGCAATGGCCCGAGACATCGTAATTACACCCATAAAGACGCTCAGCTTTCAATGAGTTTGAATATTTAATGGGGGAGCTGTGTTTCGGGGCCCTGCTGCCCTCTCGGCAGTGCTGGTCCTGTAATGTCTCCAGATGAATTCAATTAAGAGCTGGAGCGGCTCTCATGTTAGTAAACCCGATCACTCTGCTAATGGAGCCAAATGGTAGGGTGGGTTCCCATCTGTCACTGACAAGCCCCTCCCTGCCTAGCCAGGGTCACGGCCAAGAAAACAAAAACAAAACTAAAAGAAGTTATGCATTGAACACACAGAGTAGGGAAAGCTAGCCAGGAAGAGTCCCTAGAACAACATTGAAGGAGACATGACACCCACAGGCAGAATGTGACAATTGTCACCCAGCAAGCTTCTGTTCACCCCTCCCCACCCCCGCCCAAACCTCATCTCAATTCACTCTCTTATCGTAGCCTGATGTGGTCAGCCTTGCCCAGGCTTGAAGCCAGTAGCTGACATTCCTCATGTTGAAGGGCTCAATAAGTGGGGGGATAAAATGTGTTTGCCTTATCTTGGCCCAGCCCAGTGTCTGCTGCACAGCTGCACTCAGGGGCGAGGTGTCAAGTTAAAGTTTTGAATTTCTTATAGTAGCAGAAAAGACAAGAGAGAGAGAGAGAGAGAGAGAGAGAGAGAGAGAGAGAGAGAAATATGGGTGGAGCAAGAAGTTGATGTTGGTCGGATGTCTCTCTCAATTGCTCTGCACCTTATTTTGTTTTTGAGGCAGGGTCTCTCACTGAATATGGAGCTCACCAAATTGTCTAGATTAGCTGGAGACTGAGCACAAGGGATCCTCCTGTCTCTGCCTCCCGCTCAGCCAAGCACTGGGATTACAGAGGCATACCACCATGGGTGGCTTTTTACATGGATACTAGAGATATAAATTCAGGTCCCCATGCTTGCGCAGCAAGAACTTTACCAACTGAACCATCTCCCAAGCCCCATGATGCCGAATATTCAAAGGTGCCTCTTTCCATATAGATTATTATCCCCCTCAGATTTGTAAGTGACAGCAGAGTTTATTTTTACCTCTTGTAGCATTCGAAAGCTGAGTCTCCTCCCTCCTTGGTATCTGTGAAGCTGTCAGTTCACTGTGCACCACAGACAGCCTCCCTCCACCCCAGGGTGTTTTTGGCTAGAGAGAGTGATGTGGACAGAAGAAAGAGAGGGAGCTTCCCTGAGAAGACTCCCTCGCCTACGAAGCGCCTCTGACTTTTACCGCTGCATCTGAAAGATTACTTGACTTTCTTTGTGTGCCGTCTTTTGTCCCCTTTCCTTGGCTGTCATTTTCTGGGCACTTACTCCATTTCAGACAGGAGCTGAACATTTGACAAGCAGCATCTCATTTAAACTTCAAAATAACCTTACCAAAGAGAAAGCCGTGCAGTTCCACAGATGAAGAAACAGGCTCAGAGAGGGTGAGGAAGTAGCCCTCAGTTCCACAGCTGGGGAGCCCCGCTCTTTCTTCTGGAAATGTACTGACTGAGCAGAAGGACTTAAAAATGAGGTTACATGGTGGGATGCAGCCTTTTGCAGCTCAGGTTGCATCAGTCCCCCAAGAGCAACAATCTCCCTGTTGAACCTCTCCAGGAAGCTCACATACCTACCTCAGCAGGGACCTGAAGGGTAGCTTCCTCCTTCCATCTCTCACCCAGGTAAGGAGCCAGGTCCTCAGAGGACATCCCAGAGCCTGGGCTCCTATGTCCCAGGTGGTCCTCACACCTCTCAACTTGCTGCAGTTGTTCCTGCTGATGAGAGAGAGTCCAGCTGGCTAATGAGTCAATTTCAGCCGCTGACTTCCAAATCTGAAAAGCTCTTGACTGTCGCAGGTCGCGGGAGCTAAGAACCTCATATACAAAACTAACATACCCACACGCATATGCGCATGTGTGTGAAGTAAGTGTGGAGGTTCTAGGTCTGTATTTAACTCCTGACTCCATTAGAAACTATGTGATCTTAGGTAATTTATTTAATACTTCTCTGATCTTTTTTGTTCTATCTGCAAAATCAATAAGGCAAGATCTACTTCATTCCTTTTTTAAAAAAATTTAAAAAATATTTTATTTATTATTTTTAGTGTATGAGTGTATTACTTGCATGTATGTGAGTGCACCCGTGTCGTGCAATGCTGTGGAGGTCAGAAGAGGGCTTCGGATTCCCCTGGAACTGGAGTTACAGATGGCTGTTAGCAGCCATGTGGGTGTTGGGAATTGAACCCGGGTCCTCTGCAGAAGCAGTCAATGCTCTTAACCACTGAGCCATCTCTCCAGGCCCCTCTTTTCTTTTTTAAAATTTTTAAAAATTACATTTATCTATCTATCATCTATCTATCATCTATCTATCTATCATCTATCTATCTCTATCTATCTATCTATCTATCTATCTATCTATCTATCTATCTATCTATCTATCTCTGTACCATGGTGTGTGTGTGGAGGTCAGAGGACAACTTGCAGGAATCAGTTTTCTTCTACCATGTAAGAACCAGGGATCGAACTCAGGTCAATAGGTTCAGCAGCAAGTGCCACTGAGCCATCTTGTCAGCCCTTATTCTGTTCTTTTGATCAGTAGGTATGTTAACGCTTACAAAATACTTTGCAGGAGATTTGGCTCCAAAGAACAATAGCTATGACTGCTAATATTTGTCCAGAAGTCAGACTGTTCATGAACTTGGTTATCTAGGCACCCTGATCCCAGGGACCCCAAAGTAACTGAACATGCCCCTGAGTGTCAGACAAGCATCAGAGAGTTCATGTCCTTTACTTTGGGGAGGTGACCACCTGGCCTCAGCTGTGATGCAGACAAAGGCATGCAAAAATGGTCGTTGATAGCAGCACTCGCTGTTATCAAGTGAAATCGCTGAGGTTAATAAGGGTCGATAATGCCAGCTTAGGGCACTAGGGAACTGTGCAAAACACTGAGAAATACACTACCAGAAGGCTTCATGTCGCCTTAAATTCTTTGGTGCTAAAAGGAGTGCCATTTCTCCCTGATGTCCCTTGTCAGGGAAAGCTCTGCAAAGGAGTCACAGAATAACCAGAGCTATTCCAGATGCTGAAGGAGATGAGCTGAGTCTGCTAACTGATAACATCCTGGTGCTGAAGAAACACCCTTAGCAGCTCATGTACAGGGCCTGGGCTGGGCAGAAAAGGGGTAGCTGTGTGAAGTAATGCCAAGTACCTTGGAGTGGCTTGGGGTTCACTTGCTTCCTCTGTCCCCATTTGCCTCCTTGGGTATTATGGCCCTTTCTTCCTGGCCCTGCCCAGTGAAGTAGCACCACCTCTGAATACTTGGCTGCTTTCAGTTTCTCTTTTTCTGGGCTGCCCATGCTTGGCCTGCCCAGAGCTTGAGACTCTGTCAACCTGCATGCTAGGAAGCCTTGTTGGTGGTTAACCTTGATCATCTACAGGACAGGATTTAGAATCACCATGGAAACACACCTCTAGGTGTGTCTGTGAGGAGGGAAGATCCACCCTGAATGTGGGTGGCACCATCCTTGTGGACTTGGGTCCTGGACTGAATAAAAAGGAGAAAGTGAGGACAGTCGTGGTGGTGCATGCCTTTAATCCCAGCATTCAGGAGACGGAGGCAGGCAGATCTCGCTATGAGTTCATGGCCAGCCTGGGAGGCCCTGTCTCAAAAAGACCAAAGTAAACAAAACAAAAACAAAAACAACAACAACAACAACAAACAACCAAAAAAAGAAGAAAGTGAGCTAGATCAGCATTCATTTCTCCGTTTCCTGATTATCTGCTTCCTGACTATGGACTCAATGTCATTGGCTCATACTCCTGCAACCATGCCTTCCCCACCATGATGCACTGCATCTTCAAACTGTGATCCAAAGTACATCCTTCCTTAAGCTGCTTTTATCAGGTATATTGCCACAACAATGAGAAAGTAACACAGCCTATTTACCACAAGTTCTCTTCTGCTTGGAGTCACTCTCTCCCCAAGGCCTCTATACACTTCCTATAGCTGTCCACTGAGGACAGCACTTACCTGTCCTTTGGGGCTCACATCCTGCCAGGAGCTCTGAGCATCCTGCTCAACATCTTCCTCCAACTCATCGAGATCGGATTCACCCTCAGCAATGGGCACGGAGACCCACACATTAGGATTAGTGATGAAGTCACTGTTGTCTTCCCTGGGGCTGTTGAGAGCTGGCTGTATCTGGTTCTCCACAGAAGCATTAACATCCACAGCAATGTGGTTCTCGACTTTGGAGTTGGTGAGTGGGGGTTTCACCTCCAGCTGGGGTCCCACCTTAGGCCAGGGGAGCCGACAGCAGCTGCTGAAATAATTGCTAATGGCCTGCTTGGCCCAATGGGCAAACACCTGTATCCGAGCCAGTGCCACCTGCAAGTTGTTCACCTCCCCATCATCCTCCGGGGCTGTGAGGTTGTCAGCACTGAAGGAGTTCAACAGCAAGGCAATGAACAGGTTGAGCACCTGAAGAGAAGGAATGGGAGGGAAGACAGGTCCATCACATTGTTTTGGCAGAGAGAGATGAATTCTGGGCCTCGGTGCTCTTTCTCCTTATTTAGTCTGCGACCCCAGCCCATGGGATGGTGCTGCCCACATTCAGGTAGTTTTTCCCATCTTGGTTAAACCTCTCTGGAAATGCCCTCACAGATGAACCCAGAGGTGTGTCTCCTGGGTGAATCTAAACGCATTTAAGTTGATAATCAAGATTTACCACCACAGAGGCTTTCCAGCATCTTGACTGGCACAGCCTTGACAACTTGGGTCCACCATGGTCTGGGGATGTCCCTGCCTATCTGGAAGACTTGTGTCTTGACAGAATGTACACCCTAGGTACAGCCGAGGAGAGCTTCAGGGATGTCTTAGGTACCCTGCCTCCTGTGGACAAGGCTTGGAAGCATATTCCTCACCATCATGGGGGAATCACTCTGCTGAGCAGAGACATCTAGGATGCAGTAGAAGACATTTGTGCCTTGGGATCAGGGAGCTGGAAAAGGTAAAGAGCCTAAATACATTCTTTCATCCTCTCTTTCGGTTGGGTTTCCTCATGTCTCTAAGAAACAATCCAATTGGTTGACTTCTAGAATCCAGGCTCCCTTTGCATAAGAAAGGGGCTCTTGGAAGAGCACCCTCTCCCCTCACAGTGCCAGTCAGCGCTGGGAAGGCAGATACCCATGGGTGGGACTTGGCAGAGATAGCTGTGGATGAGGAGCCAGACTAGGAAAAAGAAGGGGTGCTGGGGATAGCTGATTCTCCACCAGGGCTCCCCCGCAAACTTGGGAGCAGACTGTAAAATGTGATTGGCCGTATACTGTCCAGCTTCTCTATCACTTGTCCCCCCAAATCTTAGCTGGAACCATTTTCACTCTCTTGAAGAAAAAAAATTGAGCACCCTCAGACTGGGGGAGAGAATTTTCCTCTGATGATGAACAGTTACCATTTGCTGAGTTCCTAGACATTGTGATAGGAAATTTGCATACGTCACCTGCTGTAATTTAATTCTACCAGTATGCCCATGAGTAAGCACTATTTTCTTGATTTTAAGCAAATTAGGGCTTGGGGAGATTCACTATTTGGTCCTGAATCACTTAGCTAGTAAATGGGTAGAGGGGGACTTTCCTTCTCTGTCCTACGAGCTTGTTTCTAGCAGGCCAGGCTATCTCTCAAAGCATATTTATTATGGGTCCCATATGACTTTGAAAAGTTTGAAGACATTTCTGCCATCAGGACAGCAGGGGCATAAAACAATGCAGAGTCAAGACTATATGTGTGTGAGTATGTGCACATGGAAAGCTGAAGACAAGCTTCGCTGGCCTTCCTCAGGAGCCATCCACCTTGTTTTCGAGCCAGTGTCTCTCACTTGCTTGGAACTCACAAAGTAAGCGAAGCTGGCTGGCCAACAAGTCCCAGGGATCTGTCTGCCTCTGACTCCTCACTTGTGGGATTACAAGCATATGCCTGGCTTTTTTACATGGTTTCTGGGGATTGAACTAGGGTCCTCATGCTTGCACAGCAAACACTTTACCAGCTGAGCCATCTCAGCCTGTGATTCAGGCCTGGTGGGGCTTACTACTCACCACCAGGTTCCCCAGCACCATCACCGTCAAGAAAAGGATGAGGCATATGGATTTCTCACTGACTTGCATGCAGGCCCACATGTTCTCAATCCACTCTCCGCAGAGGATCCGGAAGATGATGAGGAAAGAGTGGAAGAAGTCCCACATGTGCCAGCGGGGCTGTTTATCACCTGGCTGCGTGATGGCGTCCTGTTTGCACCGGTAGTCCTCTCCAAGAAGCTGCTTTCCAACCAGGGCGAAGATGAAGACAATGATGGCCAAGATGAAGGTCAGGTTCCCCAGAGCCCCCACTGAGTTGCCAATGATCTTGATGAGTGTGTTCAGGGTGGGCCAGGACTTGGCCAGCTTGAAGACTCTCAGCTATGGAGAAGGAGAGACCATTTCAGGTCTTGGCTGCTCTTCTTGTTACCTGAAGTTCACCTTGACTGGAAGCCAAACTTCTGGGAAAAGCACTGATAACTCACCCCATGAGGATGAGGTATTCCCTGGAAGCCCCTTTCAGAGGCTTTTCATTATATTTTATTTTTAAAGATTTATTTTATTTAGTTTAGCATTTGTCTGCATTTATGTATATGTACCACATGTATGCAGTGCCTACAGAGGCCAGAAGAGGGAATTGGATTCTCTAAAACTGGAGGTATAGGCAGTTGTGAGCCACCATGTGGGTGCTAGGACTGAACTTGGGCCTTCTGCAAGAACAAGTGCTCTTTAAGCACTGAGCCATCTCTGCAGCCCCCTTATTTTATTTTTTAAAGATTTATTTTAAATTATGTGTATGGGTGGAGGGGGTATGTGCATGTGTGGCTACAGGAGCACATGGAGTCCAGAGAGAGCATCAGATCCATTAGTGCTAGAGCTACAGGCAGTTGTGAGCTGCCTGACCTGGGTGCTGGGACTTGGGTCTTCTGTAACAAGTTCGCTTAACTAGTGAGTCATTGCTCCAGCCACAACGTCTCCTTTTATAAATTACTCAAAGCTGTGGCCAGCTTCCTATGGTCCCTGAGTAGCAAGGTACTCTACTGACTCTCAAGGCTTGGCGGGGGGGGGGATGTGTGTCTCACATTGGAGAGGTCAATCTGTCATCTCTACTCTGTTGCATAGTGATAGCCCAGATCCCTTTTGGATGTGGACCTGTTCTATGGGGTGAGTTAAGATATGATGGGACTCACAAGTAAATAAGGATAGTCTCATTCTTGACCTGAAGAGGTACTAAATTCCTTCAGTTGGGCATGGTCCACTGCACTGGACACATATTGGCTAACCATCTTTTAGGGCATTTCTCATCTTGGGGCAGTTGACAACATCTGTTGTTCCCACTAGCTCTGAAATGTCAAGTCTGTGATTTCATGGATCCAGCATCCATATGTTCACTGAATTGGCCAAACAACCTTCCTGCTTTACTGAATTCCAGCCTTGTGTGCCATGGTACTACACAAGTCCATGAGGTATAGGAAGAGAAGTAGGTGGGCTCCTGCCCTCACGGAATTAATGGTTTAGTGACTAAGATGGGATGAAGACTCAAGGGAGATGGCTCAGTTGGTAAAGTGCTTGTAGAACAAGCACAAGGACCGGAGCAATCCCCAGAACCCACGAAAAAGCTGGGCACAGTGCTGTGTGCCTGTAATCCCAGAACTGGGGAGGAAGAGACAGGAGGATCACTGGGGCTTGCTGGCCAAACAATCTAGCTGAATTGGTGAGCTCCAGGTTCAGTGAAAGACCCTGTATCAAAAAGTAAGGTGGAGAGTGATTAAGGAAGACACTTCTCTGGCCTCCACACACATGCACACATACATGCACCCATGCACATGTGCACACAAACATGGACACACACGCACACACACACACACACAGAGGCTGAAGCCACAAGACAGCAAAAGTACCATGCATGAAGATGTATCCACATTTGAAAATATATTTCTGTAGTTTTCTAATTCCCTAGAAAGAAATACTTGGGCTCCATTGTCAGTGAATCAGCCAACGTGTATGGATGGGGTACCTAGCAGGAGCCATGCTCAGGTTTAGAGTGCCTTGAAGAGAAAGTGAAGCAGTCGTTCCATCATCCACACAGCAGGGAGCAGACTCTGAGAGTGCAAGTTTATTGCTCACGCACTGTGTCCACTGTCTGTGTGATGGGGAGGGGCCATGATGGCTTCAGACCTAATCTGACATTTACTTTTTTTGTAATGCTAGAACTAGAGCTTAAAGGACCAACTTTGGACTAGGTAGAAGCAGCTGACAAACACAAATGAAATGGAACATCAGTCACTCAATGGAGACTTTGTGGAGGAAATCAGGGGAATGTCTTCCTAACTAACATAGCTGATAAAGGCTTCATTCTCAGTGGTTTCTGGAAAAATGGAAATGGATAGCCAAGACAGGGCCCTGACACTGGATAACTGCCACCCATCACATCACAGAGCCTTGGGTGGCATGACTGTGGACAGTGAAGGTCACAGAGGCATGCTCACTGGCACTAAGCAAAAACATCAGACATATCACCCCAGTCAGAATGGCTATAATCAAGAAAGCAAATGTCAACAAATTCTATTGAGGATATGGGGAAAGAGGAACACTTATTGGGTTCCTCTGGTGGGAGTATAAATGTGTACTCCACTGTGGAGGTCAGTATGGCAGTTTTTCACAGAACTGAAAACAAAACTTCAATATGATGAGCTGGACCACTCCTGGGTGTGTAACTGGAGGAGTCTAAGTAAACATATCACAGAGATATTGCACATCCATGTTTACTGCTGTTCTATTCACAATATCTAAGAAATGGAACTGGTCCAGATCCACCAACAGATGAACGGATAGAAAAAAATAGAAAAAATGTGGTGTATATATGCAAAGGAATTTTATTCAGTTGTAATGAAAAACAAAATCTAGACATTTTCAAGAAAATTGGTGGAACTGGAAATCATATTAAGTGAAATAAGGCAGACTCAGAAAGACAAACCATACATTTTTCTCTCATGTGTGGAACCTAGCTTTAAAATTATATATGTGGTCATGTTCTTGGTGTAACATGCAGGCACTTCAGTCACAAAAAAATTGCATGTGTGTATGTGTGCAAGTGTGTGTGTGTGTGTGTGTGTGTGTGTGTGTGTGTATAAAACATTAGGCACTGTCACTTGCTTTGACTGCACTTGGCCAAGAACATCCATGGGTTTGCTAGCTGAGATGGGAGGGCTAGGCACTAATAGTAGAATTTCCTTAGCAAGTAGTCTGTCATGAATCTCTTGTAAAACTATAAACAAAAGGTGTATCGTCCTAAACCTTGGACACGAATGGATCATCTATTACATTTTTGTCTTTATAAAAGATAAAACAAATGATAAAAACAAAAAAAACAAGATTTGTCCTATAGATATTGTAGCTATTGTGAACAGTGCAGCAATAAACATGGATGTGCAAGTATCTCTGTGATATGTTCACTTAGAGTCCTTCAGTTATGTACCTGAGTGGTGCAGCTGGATCTCATGGCATTTCCATTTTTGGTTTGTGAAAAACCTCACACTGATTTGCATAATGGATGTACATGTTTACATTCCCACCAGCAGTGAGTAAGTGTTCCTCTTGCCCCAGATATCTGGGTTTGGCTTTCTAGTCAGTCAACACACATCATGGAGGGTCTGCTGCTGGGACTGTACAGCCAACCACCCAGCTGGCTCCTTCTGATGACAGAATAGCAGAGGGGAGCAGTGCCCTGCGCCCACACTCCCCAGAGTCTGCACCTTTGCCTCCATCTGGTTGTTCCCCATAGTCTTTTCCCAGCTCAGCATTACAGCAAAAGAACTTCTCACAGTACCGCACAATAACTTAACAGTTTTGGCAGATACTGCATATTCTTCCATAGTTAATATACTATTTCTTTAGTTAACCTCAGATTTAATATATAGACTTCATGTGGGGTCGGGGAAGACTGGGAAGAAGTCAACCAGTTGGAAAGAGTGGCTGTATTTGGCTGGAAACTAACTTGAATTCAATTTTTTAATTTTAAAACTTTTCTTCTTTTTTCTTCTCTATTGTTTTAAAACTCACCCTCCCTCTCTCCCTTCCTTCCTTTTTCCCTCTTTTCTTTCTCTTTTTGAGGCAGTGTCTCATGTAGTTAGACTTTCTTGAACTCACTATGAGGCTAAGGATGACTTTGAGTTTCTAATCCTCCTGCCTCCACCTCCCCAGTGCTGAGCTTATAGGTGCACACCACCACACTTGGTTTTATTTGGAGCTAGGGATCAGACCAAGGACTTCATGTATGTTAATCAAGCACTCTGCCAATTGAGCTTTTTCTTTAATGAGAACACTTTCCTTTTAGACTAGAATGAAAGTAAATCTGATATCTGATCTCTATGGGGGAGGTCACCATACCATTTGGTAATGAAATGGGTCTTGTAGTTGTGAAAAATATTAGAAGGGGGTAATATGATAGAGTATGTTGGGTTCCCCTCAGTTGTCTCTTTCCGTCTAATATTGCAGAAAATGCCACACGATAAAAATATTAAGTATATCACACAAGGCGTGGTGATGCATGTTTTAAACCCAGCATCCACCCTGGAGGCAGAGGCAGGCGGATCTCTGTGAAATCAAGGCCAGCCTGGTCTACAAAGTAATTTCCAGGCAGGCTGGGGCTATGGGATACCATATCAAAAAAATTAAGCATATCAATGACCTGTCAATAGAAGCATTTTTCATCCACGCATTCAATTAAGTATGAGGATTCATTTTTTCTCTTCCTTTTAGACCCAAAGGAAGGCAGTTTTCCAGTATCACTTGCACGTAGTTGAAATCGTGTTGTTGGGTTCTGATGGGTTGAATGGGGATGGAGGCTGTTTAATGCATAACACTTTCAGTCCCAGCCATAGCCCTGCATGTTCTTTGCGTCTTCCATGGCCACTACAGAGACCACCCATTGTGGTGCTGATGTCATTACATGGGATAATCCTGAATCCTGGAGTCACTCTTGGAGCAAACTCTCCCAAGACAACCTCCCAACCAGTATCAAGTGTGCTATGATATAAATCTCTATCATGCCACCTCATGGACTTGCTGAAACTAGCTGTGTTTATTTTGAATAGCATAGAGATTGGTTCACTGCAAAAGATAGTGCCATCTCTAAAACACAGATTGTGTGCCACTGGCTTTGAGATCACGCAGTAGACAACAGGAAAACAGATACAGGAAGGCGTGGCAGTGTGGGTCTGTGTTATTCAGTGGCAAAAACATTGCCTGTAAGAATTCCAGGGCAGGGGGCTGGAGAGATGGCTCAGCGGTTAAGAGCACTGACTGCTCTTGCAGAGGCTCTGGGTTTGATTCTCAGCACCCACATGGCAGCTACAAACCATCCTTAACTCCAGTTCCAA